ACAAAAATAAATGCAATTAGGAAAAAAAAATCCTCTTTCAACGCTAACACTTGAAAAATTTCCAGAACAGAGTTCATACACCAAACATGCTTAAGCCCTTTATCCACTGCAATGAATACAGCCACGGAGGAGGTTATGCGTGTGGCTCACATCAAATTGCATATTTCGAATACTTAATAACTTATTCTTCTTATTGTTATACTTTCTACCCAATTGAATTGATACTAACAGAGTTAGATGCATTGCAACTTAATTTTTTATTATCTATTGCAATCTTCTTTTTTATTATAAAAATTCTTAGTGGATAGAGTTCAGAAATCTACAGCAATGAATGAATACAAACGGTTGCTGTAATAAAAAATTCTTAGTGTCTGTGCGCTTTATCCAATACAACCTCAAAGCGAATATTTGGAATTAAAAAAAAAAAAAAACGAGATAAACCCTAAAAATTGGTCAAAATACCCGAATACAGGTAAGTAATTCAACAAATATAATCACCAAGAACAACTGGACCATCAAATAAATGGGAGAAAAAAAAGGAATCAGAATCAACATTCACAGGAGACCATGAAAGTAGAATAACGTACCAAATCGCATGATAATATGATGACCCAGACTACCAGCTAAAGCGACCTCACTATAATATTCGAATCGTCCGATGATATGGTTGAAAGCCGTGATGATTCGGTGTTGGGGTGTGAGCGGGTACGGAGTCGTGAGAGTGTAAGAGAAAACTGCTTCTCTTTTTGTGCCCTGGAACAGATAAGTAGAAATTTTTTTATTCTTTTTTTTGTTCCCCAGCATAAAAAAACCGGTTTATCCCGGGAACAAAAAAATAAACCGGTTTTATCAAACACAATTCTCATCCATTTTTGTTTTCGAGAACAAAAATTAAAAAAAAAAAACTCATTCTGAGAAGGTTGTCATGCACACTTTTAGATTCCATTTGGACGAGCTTTTTTTCTTTCTTCAAAAACTGTTTTTTTTTTTAAGAAAAAAAACAGTTATTGTAACATCCCTGTCTCGAGCCGGTTCAATTAAAATACACATGATATAAACAGAAACAGCGGAAGACTTAACTTACGAAAATATGAGCTAACTTTTTCTTTTTCTAACTTAATTCTTACTCGGCGTAAACGAAAATCGGGCAGAGTTTCCTCTAAAAATCGGACAACTGGGGATTTTCCAATCCCACTCAGAAGCATTTCTTGATAAACAGTTTATACAACATATCAATTCAGAAATACCAGATATTCAAATATAATCAAATACCCATACATGGGCACATGCATAACATGGCTCCGTGCCACTATATCTAACAGCATGCCATCAAAACGTAAACCTATCTGAATACTACATCATCATATAACGTTCCTGAATACTCAAATGTACATGAATCAAACTGACGGACATGTATAAAACATATACAGGCCACATACAAAATATAGGATCTAACATCATGATCCACAAAATACGGAAATACTAAATGAAGGTACTATACTCCAAAATAAAAGTAGTCTACAGCTACTTAAAATCCAATCCGTGCACTGCCTCAGCCACGTGTCGCGTCCCTGCCTAGTGAGGACTCACCGGGAATCTGAGCACCTGAAAATATGTCCCCAACGAGGGGTGAGATTACAAATCTCAATAAGCTCGAGGTTTATAGAGAATTCTCCATACCCCTAGCTCACTCCTGCATGAAGGTCAGATACAGAGTATACGAATACAACATATAACAGATATTATAACAGAACAGAGCATATATCCATATCATATCAGAGATATGCGTCGTCATTCCCAAGGGAGGACCCCAAGCGGAAATCAACGCACGTGTTCCCGAGGGAGGACCCCAAAGCGGAACCACACATATCAGAGGCGTACACCATTAGTCCCGAGGGAGGACCCCAAAGCGGACATCCGGCTACTATACAATCAATGGCCAGAGATTGTTACAGAAATCATATTACAGAAGTCATATCAGAGCAAAACATATCATGTTATCAAATAACTCTATATGAATGCATCTATACAAAGCATCTAAATAACAGTCATACAGTCCAACCATAGTTCACTAACCATGGTGGAGCACTCAAGCAGGAAAAGACTCCTTAAACATAGAGCTTACCTCTTGAAGCTTTACCAATACGCTTACTTGTTGCACAAGTTACTTATATGTCTTCAAGAGATTCTGATCCTTTTTAGTCTCTAGGTACACCTAGAGCAAGAATCCACAAATACAAATCAATAAAATGCTATCATGCCTAGACTTTCCATAAGGCATACATTTTATCGCTTATCTTCCTTTCTTTATATTTTTGCCAATGTTATGCCAATACACAAGTCTAGACCACCTTATACTCGTTAGCATTCTTTAATTTTAATCAAGTGTTAACTTGAGAATTTTCAACATCACTCATGCTATTTTTCTTCAAAACTCATCACTTTTATACAATTTATTACAACACATTTTATTTAAAATAAAATGTACAAAATATATCCCTAAATACCCTATAGGTCGAATCCTATAAGGGGAATTTCCAAATATCCTTCTCTTTTACAATACATTTTCTTTACTTCCTTACAACTTGCAAACACCTAGGAATGCTTCCACTAGATTCCTATTTTGAGTTTAGACACCAAGTCCTTTTTACTTAGGCATTCTTACTAACTCATCCATTTTCACTCATTTCCAACACATTATACCTCACAATACATAATATAATTTTTCCACAATAACCCCTACTCACTCCATGAAGGCCGAAACCTAGGAGGAAAAATGCAATAGGGCTTTTCAATTTTTATATCACATGTGGATGCTTACTCAACACTATAACTTCCTAAACAACAATAATCCATCATAAATTTCACATTCTAACATCAATTATTCCCCACTCACAACATGCTCATAGATTTCATGACTTAAATCATCAAAATAATATTATGAAAATAGAGGTTTTTTTACCTCTAAACACTTGTACAAAGCCTAGAGAGCAACCTCCAAGCCAAGCTCCATCAAAAACTCACTTTTTCTCCTCCCATAATAGTAACTCGAAAATGAGAGGAGGAATAACTCTTCACACACTCAACTATAGCTCAAATGGATAGGTGGAATGGATTCATTGAGTGGTTTCCAATCAATTTCTTGTTGTGGGTCTTTGAATTTGGTGACATATTCAAGAAGAAATCAAAAAAAGAAATAAAGCCTAAACCCCCCCTTCCATGATGAACTCCACGGTTTGCAAGAGAGAGAAAGGAGTTTTAGTTGTGTGAATAGTGATTCACTTGAATGACAAAGCTTTATAGCCACATGTGACTTTTTTAACAGATGTTTTTCTTTCGCGTATTTTCACTTAAACTGACCCGGAACTAACTCAATGCTACAAACATATTTTTATTTTTCTAAAATCATTTACATTAATTTTATTTCCTAAGGAACAATATTTATAATTCACAGTGTGGTTTCTGCACCGTTTTTGACGAAATGCACTGGAAACCACTAACTGTACTTTGTTTATTTATGAAATTTGAAACTTATAAACTTATCATTTTCTTGGGCCTATATTGATTTGCTTGGCATATATTGGATTTTCTTATTCTTATTTCATCAATTATTTGTTTTTGGACTCTACCGGTTGCTTAAACAGCAGTACAAAATACCCGGTAGAAACACTATTCACGAGATTTTCACGGAAAGTGCCAGACTATACAATTTTTCGTTCTGAACTCATATATGGAGTCAGAATTGTCAAATTATGTCTCTAAAATCATTTTGCTCTTTTAAGCTCTACCGGTTAATTCACAAAACTGTAAATTCTCCGGCAAAACGCACTGTTCATAACATAGTCATGATTACAGTCAAAATACTCGGAATCACTCACTGAATCTAATTATGACATTTAAATCCTTAAATTAAATCTCTAATTAAGATTTACCATTTAGGGTCATTATAATTATAAAAAAAAATTGTTTAGATGACTGCTTTTAAAAAATCAAAAGTTATAAAAAAAGTCAAAAACCTATTTCTTTCGGAAACTAAAAATTTGAGCTTATTAAAAAAGTAAAAATCAAAAGTCAAATATTTTTTTAAAAATCTAAATAATTGTGATTTTTATAAAAAGTACTTTTAAATTAAGAGAGTTATAAAAAGATTTTTTTTGATAAGTGAATACAAACGGGCTGTTAATGATCTTAGCTTTTGAAACATCTTCGGGCCACTCTACGTTCGCCTTATCTTCAATCTTCATCAGCGTTTTCGACCTTAGTTTTTTTTGTTGTTGATAGTTTCGACCTTAGTTTTGTTGGCACAAGAAATTATTAGTTGAAGCAACGCAGAACAGCACATTTCAAATAATCCGAGCAAAGAAAAGCATTGCTTCACAAATATTTCTTTCCTGTTTTGGACTTTGTACTTTGTATCTTGTTCCTGTATTGTTGATTTTATAACAATTAGTATCAAGATCTGCGTTTCTTCTTTGCCTTTTCCGTGTTAGTCTTTGAATATTCGCTTCGTGCATTGCTATCTCTGTTGTTTCTCCTCCCCATTATTGTATACGTACTACCTGTTTTGCTAGATAACCTTTTTTATGCAACAGATGTAAATACATTCATACTAAAAGGAGGAAATTTTGAAACTTAAATAAAAGAGAAAAAGTACATCTTTAATCCTTACCGACTCATAAAGAAGTGAGACTCACATTTTTAGAACTTTTTTCCTCCACCCTATCTCATGATTTATCTTTTTCTTTCATTTAAAATGACACAACTTTATATCTTTTACAATGATACACATTTTTTCCTAAATAAAATTATATAAAAATGTATGGGTTAAAATGAAAAAAAATATATCAAAAAAAGAATACGAGTTTGGTATTCCCGTGATACTGAAAATTTTTCCCAGTTTTGCATTATTATATCTTTGAAACAAAAGTTTACGAACCAATCTTATGTTGAAAATTCAATTTGTAAGGCGTATTTGTTGGAGAAGATGCCCGCATTTTCTTCATATAAATATGCTACAGAATTTCCATCAAGTAGAAACATTTATTATATCCACTAGTAAATTTTAGCAGCAAATTCGATTGCAGTCGCTCATCACAAACATTGTCTTGATCAAGCTGCTTCTACATTATTATTATCACCCAATTTACATGCACAAGCTAAGTGCTACTCCTATTACACTTCCTTTAAGCTAGCTTATAATGATAAATTTGAACATTTTCCACAAGAAACTTGCCCCATTTGTATGGCCTATATTTTGAAGGGTTTTGCTCATTTATCAGCTCCTCCAAAGGCTTGACTTCGGTGTCGTGTGCTGGGTTGAAGAAGAAAGGAATGGAAAACCTTTCTTTCTCAGAGTTAACCATCGCTCTGTGTTCCACACTCTCATAAGCGTCATTGCTCCAAACCTGCACAAATAACTCCAGTCCTCTAGTAAAAGTGTCTCTCTACTGATCAAGGCCTAACATAACACATAAACTAGGAAATAAACACAATATAAAATAGACTAAAAGTCAGTAAGATTTCAATTTTTTTCTGTCTTTGTAGCGGTAATTTACTGGAACAGTGACCATTTTGTTTATTTATCAGACTGTCACGTCAATAGCAAAAGTTTTTGGAATGCCACTTGATATAATTAGCTACAATGTGCAGCGAAATATGTTTACAAATAATTCGCTACACAGTGTAGCGAATTATGCCATGTCAGGCTGCACAGTCAGCAATAATGACACATGTCAAGCAGGTAGTAATACAAGCATAATTCGCTACACAGTGTAGCGAATTACTGTCTGTTTGACACATGTCATTTTGGCTGACTGTGCAGCCTGACATGACATAATTCGCTACACTGTGTAGCGAATTATTTGCAAATATATTTCAGCAGCGAACTATGACGCTGACATTCCGAAAATTTTTAGCGTTGGAGTCGCAGTCTGACAAATAATTTGCTGCGGCAAAATGTTCGGTGTTCCTAATTTACTGGTACCTGAATAATATCACCAACGTTTATGATATAAGCATCTGGGGTGGGTTTCACTCGAACCCATTCTTGATCTGCTTTACGTTTCACTTCAAGTCCTCCAACCTCATCTTGGGCAAGAATAGTTAAAGCACCACCATCCTTGTGTCGACCAACTCCAAGAGCCAGTTGAGGGTAAGGGCATGAAGGATAGTGGTTAAGTCGAATAAAGCTGGTTTGCTCATTGATAAAAAATTCTTCAAAACTCTTTGCTCCAAGGCCTAAGCTCAGAGCTATAAGCTCCAGCAACTTAGAGGCCAGCTTTTCCATCTCTTGAATATACTCTTGGATTATAACCCTACTCATATCGACATAATTTTGAACACAACCCAATAATTAAGTGTCAATCTACAGTTGAATTGTACACAATCCAAAGAAAAGACTAAAAAAAAAAAAACTTTGTTTTCAACTGAATTACTCATAATTTGATATCAATAATTGTTGTAAAGTGAAATTAAGATGAATTATTACCCGAATTGTGGAGGGTATTCAGGGGTTTGATTAGTCCACTGAGTGAGTTGATCATCATGTTCATCAGAAGTGGCAGGAACAAAAGTGGGTTCTTTGGCTAGAAAATCAAACACTTCCTTCCAGTCCCTAACGTTCTTGGTGTGCTCTGTGTCATAATAACCAGTCACAGTGAACTCACCTCTGCTAACCTTCCTCTTCTCCTCTAAGCTCTGTGCAAAGAACATCCTCGAGGCTTCCTCGATCCTCTGCCTTAAACTCAGGGGCACCCCATGATTTGTTACTTGGAAGAAGCCCCACTCCTTGCATGCAATTCCTATCTCTTTCACTAAGCCTTCAATGGCAGAAGGGTCTTGAACTGTGTGTTGGATTATTGAGGAGAGGTCAATTACAGGAATTCCTTCGGCTTCAATGATGGAGAGCTTTGGCCTGTGTTCTGGATCTTGGATGAAAACTGGGTCAACCTCTCCCATGGTTGCTACAACTGCTAGTGATTGATTACTTTGCCAGGTGAAGTGAGTCTATATATATTGAGTGGTTAATGGTTTTTGGTGATTCACTTGTTTCATTTCATATCAAGGTACTTGAAAATGTTATGTAGATACATTGAATCAGGACTAGTTTTATGCCTGTCATTGTCTAATGGGAGCTGTTCCGTGTAAAACTTATACATGGTGCATAGTTTAGATATTAAAAAATTGAAAATCGTTGTCTGTGCGCAATGCTATTGTTAAACACATGAAAATATCAATTCACACCCACATATGTCTCTATTCATTTAAATCTAGCAAAGCTAGGTAATGATCATTTTTTTCGTCATCTCTTATGCATAATTTCCTATTAAATAACAACTATATATGACTTCCATAGTCCTGGTATGCCTTAAACATAAGGTACAACGAATATAAGGTCATAAGAATCAGTACATAACCAAACTAGCCATTTGTAGGGAAATATCAGGATGTGCATTGTTCATATATCAGGATATGCATTGTTCATACATCCGGATATGAAGTGTAGATATGTCTAGATATGGAGATAAGGATCATGCGGAAGATGACAATTCCGCCCCACTTAACATTAGGTGTTATGGAGATAATTATCATACGGAAGATGATGAATCATGGTTTGAATGACTTGCTATATTAGAGTTTGATTATTTTCTTGTTCTAGTTTTAGGTGAAGCCGGTACATTACGCTATATAATATCATTTGTTGGGCCGACATGGGGAGCTCATGGCAAGAAGAGACTATCGTTAATGAGCTAAGTGACAAATGACATTAAGTGAACTTAGACATTACAACTCAATTCAAAATTTTAAGGGATTAGATGTTTGGATCTTTTTGTTTATATGATACTCACTCATTCCATTCTTAACCAATACGAGATTTTGCTCACTCATTCTGCAACAGTTACTTGAGTTGTGATGATTATTGGCTTATAAGTTGAAATTTGTGATCATCAAAAAACTATTGTCCAATATGCTGTACGTCCTAAATGTTTAATAAAGATTTGGCCATGAACCCGGACGAATTCTTGTGAGATATTAGGAAGAGGTAGTCAGGTTGTCTACTTCTAAAGAGGAGGCTAAGAAAAATTGGATGAAACACACAAATGAGAAATATTGTGCAAGTCTGAGTCATCCTCCAACCCCACCCATTTGGTTACATTCTTCAGTTCTTCTGTTGTAGCTTTAATTTATGTCAGCAAAGTCATTTTAAGGCTGAACATTAATTGTTCTCTTGTGTCTTTCCGCAATAAAGACAAAATGTATCTATCACTTATGTCATCAAAGAGCAACAGAGAAGCACCAATCTGCCAGTATTTCATTGCATAGCTGTCTTCGAGCTTGACTGTAGCATAAAGAAAAATAAAATATTTCATACTCGAAGTAATGCCAAATTCTGGCTATGAGGTTGATTATGGGCTTCCATATATGGAAGTATGGAACGAATCAACGGACAAAAGCAGCTGCGTGTGCATAAAATTGAAGCTTAGAAACGCCAAGGTCCTATAACATATGCTCTGGACTTTTTTTGAATTTTGCTAAAGTAGTAATAATGTACTTTGGTAGATCCTATGACATTACTATAGAGTCTGTATTTGACAAAAGTAAGGTGAAAATGAACGAAGACATAATAATGTATGCCTAACTATTTTCTTTTCTTTTATAAATGACTTTCCGGGCTTTTAGTTTTACTAGGCACATTTAAATGGAATTGAATGTCAACCACTTAAAATGATTTTTGAGTAAAGCTCTTCTTGGATCCCTAACAAAAAACATGGTCTTCACTTTCGTCCCTTAAAAAAAATGTCAACTTTTGGTCCTTCTACAATTTCAATTTTTTTAAAATGTAGTCTCTTTGAAATTCAACGAAGACCTAATTTAGTTCCTAAAAATGGACTAATATGGTTTTTTTTTTTGTATGACAATTGTTCTAACTCTAGGGGTGTCAAGAAAATTGTTATTGCTGCAACAGTTATGGAGAAGTGTTGAGCCAAAAAACTGTACTTGAAGTAGAATATTTTAGAGGAGTTGGACTACAAAATTGAAGACCTTATCATTCAGAGAAACATCAAAACGAAAATTAGTGGATATGAAAAGAAAATGAAAAGCACTAAAGGCTCTGGACCTAATTTGGCTAGAAATGGATAACTTACTCAACCTCCTTAGGGGTTGTTACCTTAGCCTTGGCCTACAAATGCTGATACATTAGAGGGCAGCCAGTTTTCAAAAATGGTGGAGTATTTTTGGTTGCTAGGCTGTGATCTGCCATTGTCAATGGCATTTTATGAGATGGTCCCTAGTCAAAAACTTTACTTGGATGACACTTTTTATTGATGCTGAGTTCGGAAAATTTTCTTCATACGAAAAAATTTCATGCACAAAAGTAGCATTGGCTCCTCATAGGATATTTTCCAAGTTGCATATTTATAATCCTCAACAAGGGGGAATTGAAAAAAAGCATTGCGATCCTGGTAGGAGCTATTGTGTTGCAGGCATAAGCTGGTCTATAAGTTTTAAGCAATGCGATCTCGGAGGAGGGTTTTCAATGGTTCATCTTCACCTTGAGGACAAGGTAAAACTCAAACGAGACGGTATTGGTACAACTCTAGAGGAAAGAGTCAGTTATAAGAGAAGATTCTACGTTGTCCAGTTGGCAAGGACTGAGGAATTGGAGGAAAATTCTGTTAGCTAGTAAAATATATAAAAAGTGAAAGGGTGGAGCTGGAGGAGGTAGGCATTTGGGGAGTGGAATTGGGACAACTTTGATGGTGTAAAGAACCAATTCATTTGGTGAGAGCTAGCTTTTGGGGTAGTATATCCCAAAGTTCTTTACATGGTATAAGAGCCTCGGTGTACCAGATTCGATCCTCACCGCCCCCCACTTTCTTTCTAGTGAAATTTCTTTCGCACAGGTAGGTGGGCCTGTGCATCGTCCACCCTTCAAGCTCAGTGAGCTCTCGTGTGAGGGGGCGTGTTGAAATATATAAAATCATTAATGTAGCCTCACCCAACAGCTTAAGCTTTTGGGTTGAATTGGTTCTTTATAGATGGATTGGGAGAAAACTGGCTTCTCTAATTGGCGCTGTTGTATTTGTTTTCCTTATTAACATTGCATTTCCCATTGTTCAGTGTACTCTGTTCCTAGAAATTATCAATACAGTCTCAGATTTATCTCTTTCTCTTTAGTTCTCTTTTCTAATACCTATCATTACCCCTACATTTGAGGATGTGCTCATTTTGCCGAAGCTTCTCCTTTATGACCAAGTACACCCCTGCATTCTTCAAAACAAAGATGAATTTTAGCACAATATAAAATGGACATTTGCGTTGTCCACGCTTCTAGTGTAAGGACTCTTGCATGAAGGGCATGTTATATTGGCATTCCAGCTAGCAACTTAAGCTTTTGCTTTTGGGAGAGTTAGTGCTTGACAAGAAATATTTAGGTCCAAGGCCAAATCTGAAAGAAAAATAAGATCACAAAGAGCAGGCTGCATTAGAAATGCTATCCACCATTGCTGCTATATAGACAAGTGAAGGGTATAATGGAGTTAATAGTTGCTGTTATATGCTCTACTGTTGCATAAATAACATCAGAATAAGGATGGGTTTTATCTTCTACAGAGAATAGATGAATATTATTGTTCAATTCTATCCAGCTGCAACCTGGATCTTTTCTCAATTCCAGACTCTGCAATCTCTTCCTAAGTATTGTCTTCTGCCCCCATCTACCTAGCATGGCATACATATTGGACAGAATAACAAAAGTAGATATTGGGTTGGGATCCAAACTGAACAACTTCTCAGCAGCCCTCTCCCCCACTTCCATGTCCTTCCAGAACCAAGAAGCATTAAGCAAAGCTCCCCAAATTACCCCATCTGCTTCAATAGGCATTTGTATAATAAACTTTTCAGCTTCTTTTACATGGCCTGACCGACCAAGAAGATCCACCACGCATGTATAATGTTCGATAGTTGGGGTTACCTTGTAGCATCTTTCCATTGATTGGAAAATTCTCAAACCTTCACCAACTAGCCCGGCATGGCTACAGGCAGAAAGAATGCCAACAAAAGTAGCTGCATTTGGAACAATTCCTTGAACTAACATTGAGCGGAAGAGTGAAATTGCCTCAGATCCAAGTCCATGATATGCATACCCATTTATAAGAGCTGTCCATGCTGCTACATTGGGTGAAAAAATGCTGATAAATGACCTTTGAGCATCAGCCAAGCGACCACATTTGGAATAGAAGTCTACAAGAGCAGTTCCGACATAAACATTTGCTTGGAATGGTGTTTTGGTTAAGTGAGCATGAAGCAACTGTCCTTGTTGAAAAGAACCAAGACATGAGCAAGCACGAAATAGTACAGAGAATGTTGATCTGCTATAGTCAACTGATAATCTACGCATGGTCACATATAATTTTAATGCCTCCTTGTGCTGACCATTAAGAATATAACCCGACATCATTGAATTCCACGTTACAGAGTTTCTTTCACCTTTAGTTTTGTCAAAAAGCTTTAGAGCTTCACCAAGTTCACCATTTTTCGAATACGCAGAAATCATAGTATTTAAGGAAGTTAAATTCTTGGGACTCATTTCCTCGAATAATCTTTTTGACTTTTCAAACTGACCATTCATAGCATAACCTTTAATCATCAAATTATACGACATGGGATTTGTCTCTCTCAATTCATAAAAGACCAGCTCAGCTTCTTCAATCCTTCCTGTCGAGATAAAGCCCCCAATCAGTGAGTTAGTAACATTCAAACAAGCTTCTCGTCCCATGCTCTCATAAACTCTCTTTGCATCATCTATGGCATCACAATCACAATAAAATCCGATAAGTGCGCCACCAACTGAGTTATCAAGATCAAAACCATCCTTTATGCAAAGCCCATGAACAACCTTCCCTGGATATAGAACTCTAAGTCTAGCACAAATCCTTATAACGCAATCCAAAGTGAACTCATTAGGCAACACCTCAGAACTCCTCCTCATACACCCAAACAAATCCAAAGCCCTCTCACACCCATCTTCCCTCTTTGCATACCCTGAGATCAATGTAGTCCAGGCTGCAACATCCCGAGCAGGCATCTTTTCAAATATGTCCAGAGCATCACCCATCATGTCACGCTGCACATAACCCGCAAGCATCAAACTCCACAACACTTCATTCCCATCACGAAGCTCCTCAAAAACCAGGTTAGCTTCTTCAATTCCACAGCAATGCACACAAAAATACAACAAAGCACTCCCCACGAGGTCAAACCTCTCGTGGCCAGATTTCAAAAGCAGGGAATGAACTTGCTTTCCATGAAGCAAGGACACAGAACGCGCACACGCACTCAACACTGCAGAAAAAGAAATCTCATTGAGCTTGACGCAAGAGTGATGCATGACGGAAGCAAGGTTCAAAGCCTCAGCGTACCTCCCACATTGGGAATAACCAGAAATCATGGTGTTCCAAGAGGAAACTGTTCGAAGCGGCATTTCATCAAACAGGTGGCGAGCTTCTTCGATTTTGCCAGCTTTCGTACGGTGGGTGATGGAGATGTTCGTAGAGATCACGTGAGCGAGATGGGGTTCCGAAGCTTGCAAAAGGGTCGTGAAAAGTCGGAAACTTTCTTTCCGTTTCCAACGGTTGCGCTTCCAGGTGCCCACAAGGCACAACCTGAGAAACAGTGTCATTGTGAGGGGGAGATGTTACATCAAGAGAATTATTCTTTAACAAACTTTCAATTTATTCTTTTCATTAGTTTAAATTAAAATTTATCTAATTTTAAGACTTTAAAATTTAAATTAACGTCCAAATAAATTTTTTTTTAATTTCTTCATTAATATATTTGATCTGTTTTAAATATTTTTTTTAGTCTCCCTTTACACTTTATATATTTTTGGTGCAAATACATTCTTAAGCATATGACTTTAATTTCATATACTTTTGATAAGATTTAAATACAAATTATAATTCAACCACATTTCCTAATTAATGTTTTTATATAATACTTAAAAATATTTAAAATTAGAGTAACTCTTAGGAATTAAATTTGTAAGACAATCATAAATTTAAAGGTCAAACTTTATTGGAGAATGAAGCATATATTTTTAAAGGGAAATTATTTTCTTATAATGTAGGAAAATAATTATTTCATGTGTAGAAATAAAATTATAAGTGGGACACAGGTAAGAGGAGAACAAAAAATAGAGGCGGAACCCCCCTCTATGTTATATGTGCTTAAACTTTGTTTCTCTTAAGTAAAATGAGAGAAATAGAACTCATTTTAAATATCAAACGATGTTCAAAGCTCTAATAGACCCAAATTATTCAATTTTAAGTTTGAGTCTCTCCATTATTTCTACGCTCGGGATATTTAACCCAAAAAAAATCAAGTTTGACAATATTTTTTAGGGATTAAAGTTTTTGGTGCAACAAGAGAAAAAATTATCTCCAGCAACCTCAAAAGAATGTTGTTTTGGAGGTTAAGAAAAAATAAGGTATTTTGATACAATTCATGATATAAGAGAAAAGTAAAATTTTCAAAATACCCTGTATTTTTACCCTAAACCCTTAAACAATATCGTTTTGAAATTATTAGAAATAAATTTATGGAAAATATTTTTTTTAATATTAAATCAAAGAGCAATTGCAAAGAGTTCTGGTGTTAGAGGACCACAACAGTTGAGACTTCAAAGGAAGTCAAGCTTCTCGTGCTTTCATATTTAATTTTAAGTATTTACGTAAAGAAGCCAAGAAATATTAGGCATATATGTGTTAGTGTTAGAATCAAAAGTAAAATTGGCATTAAACTCTTGCATTGATTGATGCTAGTGGAGATTAATTGACACTATTTACAATTTAATTATTTGGAATCTCCAAGCATGTGAAAGTGAGATGCTCTTCTTGAAAAATTGAAATGTTTCTTTATAACTCACTCTTAATTAATACTAGAGGTCGTAAACATTCTATAAGAAAAGAGAAGCAAGAAATTGTACTTGAGAAAAAGTGTGAGATAAAAGAGATAGAGTTGAAAAGTCTAGGTGTATAAGAAATGGTGAGAGGGTGTATACTAGGAATGATCCCCTTAAGATAAGTGGATGATTAGATCAACTAGGAATAGAATTTATGCTCAAAATCTAGCCTCCGATTTTGATATGATTTCTATGTGTAGCTGTTAGCCCCAAAACACCATGTCATGTTAACAAATGTGAGTTACAAATATTATACACCTAAGAATTGAGTGATTCCAAAACGAGGTGAAAGCACTTTCTGAAATGCAAGATAAGCTCAAGAATCACCAAAAAAGGTCATGTATATTGTGAGATGTGATCTGAGATTACTTGAGTCAAAAATTGAGGATTTACGGGTTAGGGTTTGATTCAGTTGGACTTTGTGAACAAAATTAAACATAGAAACCAGAATTTGAAGGTGCCACAATCTATGGATTGATGAGCCTACGAACGCCAAAAGGATAAGCACCATTGATAAGTTCAAAGATTCTCAGAAGAACCTAAGAGAACTAATCTCACGCACAATGGCTAACTTGTCATCTGAATTCTCCTTCTAAAAGCTATAGTATGCTTGCACACATTTTGACATAATCTTAGAGATAATGAGTATCAGTCCAAATAAATACAAAACTAAATGGAATAATTGGGCCAAGTAGCGTGCACACAGAATAAAACAGCCCAAATAGTCTTATTACAATAATCATTTAATCTTAACAAAAATAAAACTAATTACAGAATTTAGCCCAAGTGGAATACATCCTTCATGCTCTTAATTATTCATCAATTTAGATCTTAACTCAAGTCCAATTTGCACGTCCAACAAGGCTTATTCCTCAAGGTCTTCAATGTGAATAAATGCATTACTTTATCTTCTTTTCCTCTAGACTTGGGCTTGTCTCAAGTAAAATTGCCACTAAGTGATTTAGAGTTTTTTTATCCTTTTTAGTTTTTCCTGTTATCATTAAGCCTCCCAGGCCTTGTATGTCCTCCATGTTGTCTGCTTTGGTCATGCCACCTCCCATGTCCTCATCGAAAAATCTCTTGTATAAGAAATGGTGAAAGGGTGTATATGGGGTTCTTGGGTTTGGGATAATCCGAGTGTTGTGTACTGTGTACTCTATAATTTCTTATAGTGGATTTCATATCTCAAGTTGACGTAGTCCAATTTTGGGTGAACCACATTAAATTGTGTGCTTGTGATTTTATTTATACTCTTAAATTGTCGATTTCTGCTATATTTTAATGGAAGAAATAACCAAGTGATGTTTCCGCAATGAAAGAATAAGTCTTGTGATATTGTTTTTAATATGGTCTAGATTTATTTCCCAACAACTTGTATCAAAGATTAGTTGGCTTTGGTATTTCTTGTTCTTGTTCAAATGACAAAAAGTATGAGCTCATAATTCAAGGTGGAACGGTTTGATGGCAACATACTGAAAATTATGAAAAAGCTTTAGTTATCGAGGGAAGATGAAGGATAGCTTGCGGGGGCTGTTCTGAATCTCAAACCAATGGAGAAAGCATATAATGTTATGGACAAAATGGTGGAGATTTTCTCGCAATCTCCAAAGGTAATTGCATTACTTCTCATTTGGACGAGTTGTTGTTCTGTGCCTATTTTTGGTAAAATAAGGTGCATAAATTATCATTTGGATGGGAGTATAGTCATATATTCCTTGGATTTTGAAGAAAAATTGAAAGTCGAGTACAAGTGGCAAGCGCTCACATAGGATCTCTCTAGCAGTTGGTGCAGAGAAGAGAATAATTGGCTTTCAGGTGCAAATGATGGCAAAAAGGTACTTGTGGCGGAGAGGTTGGTTCCAGATCCCTTTTTGGCGTTGATCTCTTAATCAACGGGTTTGAAGCTATGCATATGTATTGGTCAATTTTAAATTAGATGACGATTTCTAATTGAGTTATGTGTAGCCAGTGCAACACCCCTGAGTTCCCGGTTTGTTAATATCATAACGGTATCAAGCGCAACGTCAGAGGGTGGTTAGTCGAAGGCAAAACTCCACCCTATTGTTATGGGGACCATAGATCGAGCCCTATTTTCAAATCTTCCTTTCTTTGCTTATTTTTCTATTATGATTAGGGTCAGCAAAATGGGCTTGGTTCGATGGGTTAATCAGTCCCACCCGTTAAATGGGGCAGATTGGTCTAAGTTTTTCAATCCATATCAAAGTGGGGCATAGCAGAACAGGCTCATTTTTTTGGCGGACATAGGCGGGACAAGATGGGTTAGTATAAAATAGGTTCGGGCTAACGAGCTAACCTGCCTAATCCGCCAAACGGGATGGGATAAGCCGAATTTTTCAGCCCACTTTTAAAAGCGAGGTGGGTTGTCTAATTTTTTGACTGGTTAATGACGGAATGAGACGAAACATGCCGTCCACTTTACTACCTCTAATCATGATGAGTTTATGTCATTCTCTCTTTCTTCGACTTATCACCGGCAGTTTGCTGGATTCCAAACTCAATGCAACTAAACATAAAGGTTGCGCTCACTGTGGACTTAGTTCAATGACACGAGCCGACGGTAATCATGTACTTCATATGTCTGCATTCTCAAATGAAATTCTCAAATAAAATAAGGAAAATTGGAGAAAACGTGAAATTATCACTCATTTTTCTTATTCATTTTCCATAAAAAAAAAAAAAAAAAAAACATGCATGTATGTAGGCCCCAAATGTACGATGGTTATACTTTAATGCACAAGTATAATGGTTACATTGTACACCAAAAATTATAAGACATAAAAAAAAAGTACCATACACATAAAAATGCATGTTTTACAATCCTTTTTATTTTTTGGAAATATTTTTCTCATTTCGTTAGAGATAACTATCTTATTTTATACACTCATCGAATTTTGTGCTAGCTTTTTCTATTTCTTTTTTCTTTTGTTTTAAAGTGTAAACCTCATATATTTATCTCACACACATGAGAGAATTATCTCAAGCAACATGAGATTAGTAACTCTCTTTTTTTATATACATAACAATTATTTTTTAAAATTTTTCTTTAAAGAATTCAATATATTATAATCGGATGCTATCTACTTAAAAAACATAGTAATAATCAAATGACTCGATACGAACCAACCAAAATTGCTTAAGTTGGCTCCGTTCGTGTTCAATTTTTTTTCTTCCCAACCATACTTTACAATTTTAATCCGTTTGAATTTTGATTCTCCATAACCCAACTAAATTTGACCCATAATTATTCCTACTCATCTTGTTAAAAAATTAAGCCTATTTTTTAAAATTTACATTTGACTCTTTCTAAGCTTGATTGTTATTATTATTTTGGTAAATTAGAATGTACATGACAATCATTATGTTCCCTAACACTATTTCTGAAAAGAAACAATTCTTTTCTATTATTGTACCTTATAATAATTTCTGAGAAAAAAAATATGTTTAATAACATATTCTATTTTTATTCCGAAAATGAAAATTGTATTTGATAATACAACAAATAAAAAATCATTTCTATTAAATATAAAAAAAAATTGGATCATCACTTTCCTTTTCATATGATATAATGGTGGTGGTTGTGGCATGGTGGTAGTGATAGTGATGGTGTGGTGGCAATGATTGCAGCAATGGTGATAGTACTAGTAGCGATGGTGATGGCATGGTGGTTGTGATGACGTTGGTAGTAGTGGCGGTGGCATAATAGTAGTGGTGGTGGTGATAACAATGGCTGCAGCAATGATGGTGTAATGGTGGCTATGGTGGTGGTCGAGGTGATGGTGATGATGATGGTGATAGTGACAACAGTGGCTGCGACGATAGTAGTAGTGGTTGGTGACGATGGTAGTGATGGTGGCACTGGTCATATAGAAATGGTGATGACGATGGTAGTGGTGAAGAGTGATTGAAAGAGATAAGTGTTTCTCGTTTTGAAGATTTGTTTTAGTGATCCCAGTACACATGTCCCATTCCAAAAATAGTAAAAGAACAAGGGAGTGCGAGGAAATTTTTAAAAAAGTGAGGGTGAAGCATATTTTTCCAAAAATAGAAAAAGGATCACCCAAAAAAAATGATCCCGGATCACTTTAAAAAATCTCCTCATTTTGTGTCCAATAACAAAAAAGCATAAATTTTTTGATTTCCTTTTTATGTTCCCAAACATAAAATTTGAATTGATTCATTCTCAGAAACAAAAATAATCCAATTTTGTCAAACATTATTTTTATTATCGAGAACAAAAATTGAAAAAAAAAAACTAATTCTGAGAAGGTCATCATGCACACCTTTAAATTTAATAATTATTTAAATATGATGAGTTAAACTCAAATAATATAATTATTTTAAATTTTTATATATTTTAATTGAAAATATTTGACCAAATTTTGAAACTAATCAAAATCTCAAGAGGGGAGAGAAAGATAAAAGTTATTTGAGATTCTGATCAAATAATATTTTAAAGTAACACAAAAATAGACAGAAAAAGAGGTAGATAAAATAACATATCCTTACCTGAAGATATAAAAATTTTAAGATCGATTTGCCTAATAAAATATTAAAAGTATACTTTAAGAATATTTGAAATTACTCTAAAAACAGAAAGATTATAAAAGCATGTTTCCGGAGTCAAACCAAAATATAAAAATAGGGAACAAGTTTTAACAATAGTGGAATGCAACTTCCATTCCAAATAATTAATTGCTTAGATAATGTCAAAAGTCAAAACACTCTTATCTATTATTTTATAAACACAATTTTAGGCTTTATTATGCAACTACATTTTATAATTCTAAAATCTAATATAACTTCAAATATAATTCTAAATTTGATGCAAGTTTCAAAAAATCAAGAGCCTAACCTATAATTTAATAAGATATTTTATCTTATTAAAGTTATAGGCACGGATCATGATTTATTAATATGTTTAATTTTTTGAAATCATATTCCTTTTCTTTTCTTTTAATAAAGAACACAAAGTCATGCATGATTATCGATAATTCATAGATAAAAGTTGTATTTCACATGCATGATATTTTTTTCTTTATTATATTAAAAAATATTAAAATTTAACATGACCAAAACTATGTCTTTATTCCTCTCCATAAATTTTAATTGAATACTATCTATTTAGAGCCCGTTTGAATATATTTTTTTCTCAAAAAATTACTTTTTTATAAATAAATAAAACACTTCTAAAAAAAATCTATTTAGAGATCTGTTTTAAAAACAAAAGAAGTCAAATGTCAAATGTTTTTTTTTTCAAAAATTATATATTTTTTAAAAATCTAAATAGCTATAATTTTTGTAAAAAAAAAAACACTCTAAAAATAAGCAAAGCATAAAATAACTTTTTTAGGAAGGCGAGACTTCAGGGGACGTTTGGTGCAAAACTTTTTGTAGGATTTCCGAAAAATTAATTTTTTCTAAATTTTTAATTTTCGAATATTATCTTAAATTGAATGTTTTCGTCATATTTCTGAAAATCGAGATTCTTGGGTAAAAAATTTCTCCTCTACCAAACATCCCTTAATGTCAATGAAGAGAAGTACAAGTTTCCATATAATTCTATTATGTGAACTTTTAGAATTCATTCTGAAAAATATTAATAAGTTATGCATCAAGGATCCAAATTAAAAAAATTAATAATAAAGATAAAACATATTTAAACAAAAAACAAACATATTTATAGATTAAAAAAAAAAACTTGACTAAGTCATGGATCAGATCCAGAAACAAAAAAAAAAACCCCACAAATTTCACACTAATTCTATTCACATGGTCATTCACACAGGGAATAGCTAGGCCACTAAATAGAGACATTCTATTTACTATTTGCTTAAAGATAAGGTGGGATTAATTATCAATCTGTTTCATGATCAGGTGCAGGAGAATACCATGCAGGGAACCTGCCTTTGCTTCTAAGAAGCCTAGTATATGGCGAATCAGGCATTCTAGCTTGCTCTTCTTCCATCATTTCATCAGCAGATCTTGGCAATCCATCTGGTATAGGACAAAGTCTCTTACCTTCATCTGATTTTACATCCTTGGCCAAATTCAAATCGCCCTTCTTTAATTTATGCATAAGTGCAATCCCGTGCAAACATCCTATCAAGGATTTTACACCACCAGTCTCAAGAATCAACCTCTCTACGTCTGCTTTTGGTGACTCTTTCTGTAAAAGATTACGTGAAGAACTGATTTGTTAAGGCACCAACAAATATCCTTTTGTGTTTTTTCAAAACACGATTTCAAAAGACAACATAACAGAACATGGCTTATAACATAGGAGGATGCAAAACATATCATGCGAGAAGAATTGCAATAAAAAAGACTATCAGCTAACTAATATAATATGTTTTCACTCCTATTGAAACATCTTTCCATTATTTTTCTTGAAATATATAAAATCATTAATGTAGCTTGACCCAACAGCTTAAAGCTTTTGAGTTGAATTGGTTCTTTACATGGTATCAGAGCCTCGTGTCTCGGGTTCGATCCTCGCCGCCCCTCACTTTCTTTAGTGGAATCTCTTTCTTCGCACATGTAAGTGAGCATGTGCATCGTCCATCCTTCAAGCCAATAAGCTCTCGTGTGAGGGGGCATGTTTAAATATATAAAACCAGCCTCACCCAACAGCTTAAGCTTTTGGGTTGAATTGGTTCTTTAAAAAAAAAAATTGGGGCTGAGACATTATTAGCTTAATATTTTTTTTTAAGTTTCTTCCCATATAATATTTCATAAAGGCAGAGAAAGAAGTTTCTTCAACTTCAATTTTCTTCCTCTTATTACTTCACAGATTTGAGAAATAAATTTGTCCAGAAAAGCTTTATTTTAGTCTATAAACAAAACACAGAAAAAAGGTTAACAAAAAAAAAAAAAAAAAAGCAATTTCTTTCTATAAACTAGATCTGAATTACCACAGAACAAACAAGGAAAAAAATAAAAAATAACACCACAAGCTGAAGAAAGAAAAACATACTTCAAGATCTTTCAGCTCAAAATAAGCCTGCCAGCAACTATAGGATTGGTCACCTTCAAGCGTTGAACAATAATCTGTAAAGTTTAAAACAAAATATGAATATAACCAACACAACATAACATGATAAAAATTATAATCAGACTTACATCTTTTCCAGCAAGAAAATTTTTGCTTGCAAAAACTCATATCATTAGCGAAGGAGGGGGGAAAATCATAAATTGATAAAACAAAATAAAAATACATAAAGGGATCTTTGGAATCGTTATAAAGTTGGAAAATTTGGTAACGAGAGATTCAAAGAGAAAAGAAGAAGACGTAAAGCACCTGCGAGCTCTTTCTCAGATTTTTCGATCAAAGGAGGGTCTTTGACGAGCCTTTCAAACTTGGTTCGGCTAAAAGGTTCAAGCTTGGGGATATAAGGGTGGTTCCTCGATGAACAACAAATAGTGAAAGCATGTGTTATTGAAGAGGCTCGGTGATGAAAATTCTGAAGCAGCGGAGCAGAGGAAGGACGAAGAAACGATGTCTTCATTGTTAGGGGTGTTAATGATCACAACCTCTGTTCTATTGAAATAAAAAAAGAAATTAGAAAGAGAGAATGCTTAGGATAAGGTTATATGGAATGAGGACGCAAGATATACTATTTTATACTGTGAAATTCTGTGGGAGTGTCTCCTTGGATAAGGATGATAGTATTGTAGATTTTTATTATTATCATCATGAATCCGTGTAATTAACAAAAGATATTATGAAAGATATGTATAATTATGGAAAGGATCAATTTACATCCTGTATAATGAATTTATATCCAATTTAATCTAATTGCATATGGTGAATATAGCAATAATTAGAAAAACAAATATATAACTTTTTTGGTAAATTAAAAATGAAAAAATGGAAGTATAATGTTGTTAGGTTATGTTATAGAAATAGGAATTGTGGGACCCACACTTGTTTTACTTTTTGTTTTTTGAAAATAATTGTGGGTCCCACAATCCCTATCGCTATAACATAACCTAACAATTGTCCTACAACATTATTCTTCTTTTTTCCATTAAAAATATATAGTTAACTTAGGAAGTTTTAAGCTTAGGGTTAAAAAAGTTGATATAAATGTTTTTTTTTTCAAATGTAATAAATTAAAAGATTATCATTCCAAAAAAAAAAAAATTGGTTTGGTTCTTGATTGGTGCTTGCTCTTTTTGGTAAAGTGGGACCATGCTAGAGTGCACTTTTTTTTTTTTTCTCTCTCTTTGGGTAATCCTTTATGGTTGAGTTGAATGGTATATTATTGGCTGTGGGTCACCCCATTTGGTGGGGAGAGAATGAGTTTGGCGTGTAACGCAAATTCGAAATAATGGTTAACGAGGGTGGCGGTTTGTGAGAGTCGATGTGCGGACGTACGACCCATTCTTATACCTTATCCTATGCCAACGGGATATTTTTACTACTCGTTTAGATATTTTCTCGCGTCGCCCATGGTTTTTTGTCTTTTAATTAATAGAATATAAATTAAACTGACGAAAAATTTAAATTATAGTTTAATTAGTTCCATCAACTAAAATAAAATTAATACATAGTTAAATTGAATAATATTAAAATTAAAAAAACTAATTTCTAGTTCAACGCTTTAAGCTGATCAAACTGATTTGAATTTTAAAATATTACTTTTTAAAGTACTCAATTTTAGATACGTTTTTTTAAAGAACAATTTGTTCATTATTAATTTCAGTTGTGAATCAATAATTATGAAAATAATAAATAGTTCTTTAGTAAATTATCCACATAAAATTTATTATTTAGTTTTTTTCTTTTATACTATTATTTAATTATTTTTTGGATATATCTATCAATTCATCAATTATCCCACTAGTTCGATTCGACAGTATCGGATTTATTATCCAAGGCACAAATTAGAGATATCTAATTAAAGAAAACAAACTCCCAATCATAATTTTTATTAAACTGTTATTACTAATTGTTCGGTCTTATTAAATTGTATAAAGATACCTTAAGGGTATACGCTTAGAGATATCTAAGAAATAGATATCCGATTAGCTTATAGCCAATACTCCAATCACTAAGCACTATCAACGAACGTGTAGCCAAGACGTGGGTGTGTGCACGGTGTTGGCAGTAATAATAAATTGATCAAAAGTGTGTACCTGGATCTTTAGCCTCTTATATATAGGGATTATCTCTTAGGCTTAGGCTGTTTAGATCTCACAGTTGATGTGGCTGTGCCTCTAGTTGCTAGGGATAAGGGTCTTATCCTTTTATCTTTATCATATTTATTGTTGAGATATGAATAAAATATACCATAATTCTCTAATAGATATGCGATTAAGATATGGATCTAGTCCATAACACTAATTATTTAAAAATAGATAATATTAAGTTATAAACATATTTTATTTTGTACTTCTAATTTGTAGCTACCATTAAACACCTTATAATTTCACACTTGCATTTACAATTTACTAGTCACTTCAAAAACTTTTTATTCATTTTGAAACTTCACTAAAGAAAAATAAAATAATGAGTATGTAATAATACTCAATATCTTTTAGGGATATGTTATTCTCTCCACTCTTAATTTGCCTACCTTTGCCTATCTCTCTCAACATCGTTAGATTATAATCTCATCCAACGGTAAAGATTTGCAAGATAAAATAAACCCTTTTACACAATTTTTTCTCCTCACTTCCGCCTACCCTTTCTCTCTATTGATGAAGATAGAGACACAGAAGCACATACAATCCAAATACCTTATAAGTCTGAATTGGTTTCTTGTTCACATATCTTTTTTATGACTCTGATAAAATAATTCTGTTGAACGTGGTTGATGCCAATAGTATGACAGTTATTTGAATACCAAATCCCTAACTCTCTTTCTCTTCAATGGCGCGCAACTAACTGAGTATCAACGCAATTGACTTGATAAGATCGCATGAGGATGAAATCAACAAATTAACCAAAGATCCATAATTAATAATAACGTGAATTTGACATATATGATTAATTAGCAAACTCGAACAAAATTTGGAATAGTATCAATTACAATGGGTCAAGGGAAAAAATAATCGTTGGCGAAAGAGAAACGCCTTTTAATTTTGAATTTTTGACTCTGCCCTTTATAAAATTTCAAAATTGATGGTAGGCTTGACGAAGATGATGGTCGTTCAAGGGGGTGGGAGGTAGTGAGGAGAAAGAAAGGGATAAAAGAATTTATTTTATCCTGCAAATCTCCAACATTGGATGATATTATAATCTAACGATGTTGAGAAGGGTAGACAAATTAAAAGTAGGCAGAATAACATATCTCTATATTTTATAATAATATATGAAAAGTTAAAAAACTTCCTATGTTTGAATCACTTACCCTTTTATAATTTAATTTTTATAACTTATCTCTCATATTATTTTTTTAGAGATATTCTAATCGGTTCATCGTTTCGTGACTAGTTTGATTCGGGACGAGTTTCACAATTAAGACTTTAAACTCCTATAAAAGATGATACTGGGAGGATCAAATATATGCTCTCACCCCACCTGCTCAATTTCCTATCACCAATGAGCTACTATTATTTGATTATCTCTCCTATGATTTCGGCTCATTGATCGGTGCCTCTCTCTCTCTTTTCTTCTTCTCTACTGCTTGATTTTCTCTTCCTGCAACTCATTACCCATTTAACATTTGAGCTGCCCATTATTATGAAAGTTGCAGCCAATCGTTTTCCTTTCCTTTTAGGAAGATGGATTTCTAAATGTTTTATACTTGTATTGCAGGGATTTTCAATATTGGTGGAGAGAACAAAGTGAGGTTGTACAGGACACATTCAAGCAGTTGGTCAACTGGAGCTCATGTATTCATCCATCTAATTTTCCTTCAGTACAAGGGTATACTGGGCCGAGTAAGAAAAAAGTGGGAATTGATTCTCTCACATAGAAAAATGATTATGTGGTCATGTTATTTGATCACAGTCACTCATTAATAATGAGATAAGAGAGAGAAAAGTGCATAATTTTTAAATAAGTGATGTGATCAAATAACATGACTACATGATTACTTTTTCACATGAGAAGATACATTCCTAAAAAAAGTGGAGATATGAAATATTTGTAACTTAGTCTTCCACATTCCCACTTTCCATCTATTCAACGAGGCACGTACTTAAAACTTAAAAACAAAAGTATTTTTTGTTTTGTTGTTGCAAGTCATGAAAATTGATCAATGATCATTATTGTTGTGCTTCGAAGTAGTATAATCACATTCAATTGCAATTGTTGAGAATTTAAATGTGAGTAATAAAGTCTCATGTTGATTGAGAATGGAGATGCAGATGATTGTACAATTAATTTGTTAATGAGTTAAGGTATTTTTTTCCCACTTAATTGAATTTAATTAATACTACATGTGCACAACTTACATTTGTAGATGTCAAACTAGATGATAAACCTTCACTATACTTTGTTCACTGTCAAATTCATGAAAGCATATTATTATTTGATTGGTTTTTGTGTTCGTAAATTTTCTTTTGAATTTCTTGTTACTGCCGTATTATCTAAGGTGAAGAGGAGGGTAGATTCTAAAAGTACTAAAAATAAAGCTCTACTTGCTAGAAGGAGGAGCAATGGGAAAATGAAATCTGGTTAGATAGGTAAATATAATAGAAGGTCTAAATTTTGTGATAAATCTACAGTACAGTGTAAATATGTTGGGCAGTTGAGGTAAAAATCTAGGTATAGAGAAACGAGATAAATCATCATCTTCTAATACAAAGAAATGTGACCACGGAGTTGAAACTCTTTGAACCAAACGATGATAATTTAGTTGGCGTATAAGAGCTGAAATGGTAGGGGTGAGAGCTTGCATTTGATCCTTGTTAGTATCACTTTTGGGAGGAGTTTAAAATCTTAATCTTGGACTCGCCCCGAATCAGACTAGTCGCAGAGTGATGAACCGATTGAAATATTTCAAAAAAAAGAGAGAAAGAAATATGACGACGATATTATTCTTTTATATTAAAATAAAATATATTTATTATTTTAAAGGACACAACTTTATGTTATTTTAAAAGAAACTATTGTGTTTTAATGCATATTTAATGATTTTTTATATTATCTCGGTTTTATGGAGGAGAGAGAAAGCAAATGAGAAAAAAGAAAAAAAAAACTACCAAAACATAGTAATTTCACTTAAAATAATACAAAGGTGTGTCTTTTAAAATAATAAATATTTTTTTCTAAAACAATACATGATAATATTATTTTAACATGTAATATTATACACACAAGTTTGGAGATTACCTTTTTAGCCTTTTGTTGGAGACAAGCAGATAATTTTCAATAACTTATCACAAGGCATTTGATTTCTTACACAAGTATGAACCACCAAGACAGGGGAAAGTGTCGGGAGAATTATATGTTGCAAAGACATGACACATATCCATGTCCTCCTCCCCGTTCTTCATTGTTAGGAATTGAAGTAAAAGTGCGAAAGAATCATATTGCTCTCTCTCTTTCACTAACTCAAAAACACCCCATCTTATCTGGGTGGAAAGCTCCAAAGTTAAAGGGAAAAGAGGAGTCTAAC